TCCTGGGGCCTCATGAGGCCTCCGCAAGTAGCGGCAAGACTACTCTGACGGATTCCCCTGTGCTGCTGAATTGCGAGGAAGGCTCAAGCGAAACGGCCGTTCTGGCATCCGCGAGTAGCAGCAAGATTGCTCTGAAGAACCCCCCTGTGGAGCTGAATTGCGAGGAGGGTTCAAGCGAAAAGGCCGTGCGGGCATCCTCGAGTAGCAGCGAAGGACCCCCTTGTAGTGCTAAATTGCGATGTAGCCTTCAGCGGAACAGCCATTCCGACATACTGCTCTGAAGGACCGCCTGTAGTGCTGAATTGCGAGGAAGTCTCAGGCGAGAGCGCCATTCCTAGGACTCGGGCCCTCTCTGGCCAGGGCATCTCGAAGTAAATCGTGAAGAAATATCGCACGGGAGCGGTGTTGCTGTCTGGGGGCCAATTTGGGCGACACCCCGAAACGCTCACGCGCGAGCCTGAAGTTCAAAGGAAATCCAGCCCGCGCTTGGGCGAGAGCGCCAGGGCGCCTGTAGGGGGCTAAAAACTAATAATTGCCGAAAGATTAGCACTGAACAGCAATAAGTATATCAGGACTGCTCGATACTATCTGCTCGCGTGCCACACAACATGTATATCCCAAACCATCGATAACCGCCCTCTTCGTCCTCGATCGTGCCCCCCTTGGGAATCTATCTCCCTCACCTGCCACGCGTAAGTGGCGCAGCCCCTAGAGCAGGCGAAGGGACAGAGGAGGCAAGGCACAAGGTGGAGGGAGAACGACGAAGCAATAGAGAGATTAGCAGAAGGGGCGTCAGGAGCAGGAAAACAAGCGGCATAATCAAACAGGCGGGTCAGGCAGGCGGACCCTAACGGGCGGGTCGGGCGGGCGGGCTCAGACGGCCGGGTCCAGCAGGCGGGTCGGTGAAGCGTGAGCCCCGCATGAATCGCAAGGCTGTCTCGAGCGACAGCGCGATTGCCAAGTACATCGTGAGGGAGCCGGGATAGGAGCTGCCAAGGTCAAAATGACCACTCCCGGCGGTTGGCTTAGCCATCCGCCGCAGGGCGATTTTGTGCGTGGCAGTATTCGGGAGCACTACCAGGGAGGCCAGACACCCCTCACAAGCCTTCCCTTGCTCGCGGAACTCAAGTCCGCGAGGTGTGCCGATCAGGATGCACCCAATGACAGCCTTCCCAGTAGGAGTCGTGACCGCACCCCCCGATGCGGCGAGGACTATAAAGTCAGGGCACTAGGCCTACACTCCCTGGGTCGGCTGCCACGGACCGCCGTCACGGCACACTTGCGTCTGCTGGAGGCCCCCTTTACCTCCTTGGCCTTGATGCCCTCCGCCGCCTCTGGGGAAAGACGGCCGTCGACAGATACTGCCAGCATCAAGTTACCCCTGGCCGCCACGAGGAGGCTTGCAGTCCGACTTTTCGGCCAGGATCGTGAGGGAGCCCACAGCGAGAGCGTGACTCCTGGGTGTCGAAGGCGCAAGGTCTCGATACATTGCGAGGACGTCCATCGCGGGAGCGCGATTCGTAGATAAATTTCGAGGACGTCCCACTGGAGAGCGTGAATTTGAACAAATTGTACGGAGGTGTCAAGCGGGAGCCGTTGTTGTTGTTCGAAGGGCAACAACGCAGTCCAAGGCCCAAGACTTTCCGTTGTAAAAAACCAGGCGCGAGCCTGGGGAGGGTCACACCAATTGGAAAATACAATGGGCACCGGCGGGGGATCAACCATTACTTGTTTGAAACATTCGAAAAACTATTCGCTTACAACTGTTCGCCACTCACTCCACATGTAAATCACAAATTCGACGTCCGCAATCTTCGTCTTGCATCCTATCACCCTTGGGGATATGTCCTTTTACCTGCCACCCATAACCGCACAAGGTCATCAGAACCCCCCCCCCATAATAGGAGTTAACTAATTTGTTCGACGGCCTGATTCACGGACTGGACTGGGGTCCCAACAATGCGGGATAACAACCTATTTTGCTCTGCGGTACCCGCCGCGCAACAACGACGACGACAGCTACGACTACTAGTGCGACTACGACTGCGACGACTACTACGAATTGGGCCTCAGGGGCGCTCCCACGGAAAATCCTACCTCGGAAATTCGATTCTCTGAAACTCTACCCTCAGAAGCCCCATCCTCAGAAGGAGTGTTGAAGCTCAGGCCCTACGAGGGCCCTCAGAAACTCCATTCTCAGAAACCCCATCCTCAGAAGCAACGCGTTCGGCGAAGAATGTGTGGCACCCTGCATTGCAATCCTTTTTACAAGCGTGCTCAAAATTCCTCTGTCGCGCAGGGTAGCCCAAGGGGACAAAAATCCCTGGGAGAAAAAAAAACGAACATGATTCAGCCCGCCGAACGATATAGGGAAAATGAGATCCGCCGCGACGACGAGAACGCTTACGACCACGACTAAGATTACGATTACGATCATGATTACGGCTACAACCATGACGACGACGACTCCGATTACAATCGCAACTAGTCACGGTTACAATCACGAGTAGAACCACGACTAAAATCCCTACTGCGCCCACAGAACAAATTCCGATTGCAATCCTCACGGGCAGATGATCACAAATCTTCTCGCGTGTAAGGCTGGTTGCCCCAACTGGAATATTCCCTGAAAGAAAAACACAAACACTCTCCAACCCACCACGTAGTAGAGCGGATATCATCCCCGCCCCAGCGACCACGAGTCGTCGTAGTAACGGTAGTAGTAGTAGTAGTAGTAGTAGTAGTAGCAGCAGTAGTCGTAGTGGTGGTAGTACTGGTGGTAGTAGTGGTAGTAGTAGTAGTAGTAGTAGTAGTAGTAGTAGTAGTAGTCGTAGTAGTAGTAGTAGTAGTCGTAGTAATAGTAGTAGTAGTGGTAGTACGAGTAGTAGGAGTAATAGTAGTGCTATGAGTAGTAGTAGTAGTAGTAGTAGTAGTAGTAGTAGTATTAGTAGTAGTAGTAGTAGTAGTGGTAGTAGTAGTAGTAGTAGTAGTAGTAGTAGTAGTAGTAGTAGTAGTAGTAGTGCTAGCAGCAGCAGTCGGCGTCGTCGTAGTAGTAATACCAGTAGTAGTAGCCATCGTTGTGTAGAAATACTCAAAAACAGACTGGCTTCAGTAATCGTAGTAGTCGTAGCAGTCGTAGTAGCCGAAGTAGTAGTAGTCGTCATCATCGTCCCCGTAGTAGTAGCAGTAGTACTAGTAGTAGTAGCAGTATTAGTAGTAGTAGTAGTGGTAGTAGTAGCAGTAGGCGTAGAAGTAGCAGTAGTAGCAGCAGTAGTAGTAGTGAAGTAGCAGTAGTCAAAGTAGTAGCAACAGGAAAAAATGGTAATAGAAGTAGTAGTAGAAGTAGTAGTAGTAGTAGCAGCAGCAGTAGTAGTAGTAGTAGTAGTAGTGGTAGTGGTAGTAGTAGTAGTAGTAGCAGCAGCAGCAGTAGTAAGGGTCGTAAGAGTAGAAGGAGTAGCAGTAGTAGTAGTAGTAATAGTAGTAGTAGTAGTAGTAGTAGTGGCGGTGGTACTGCTAGTAGTAGACGTAGTAGTAGTAATACTAATAGTGGTAGTAGTAGTAGTAGTAGTAGTAGTAGTAGTAGTAGTAGTAGTAGTCAAACTAGAACTGGTAGTAATCGTAGTAGTAGTAGTAGTAGTAGTAGAAATAATACGAATACTAATCATAGTTAGTAGTTGCAGAAGTAATAGCAGTAGTAGTAGCAGCAGCAGCACGAGTAGTAGACGTGGTAGTAGTAATAGTAGTCGCATGTTCGCGGCGCTGAGGCGAGAGCCACATGTTGAAAACCACCCACCCTCCATCTGTGAAACTGTCGCCAATTTTCAAACTTCAGAGTCATACTGATGAGAAGTCTCAGGCGAAACGCGCGGCCCGCCCTGGGTTGCGACAGGGAGAAGCTATTGATTTGCAAAAGGAATGGAGGAGGAGGGTGAGGAGGAGGGGGAGAGAGGGGAGGAGGAGGAGGAGGAGGAGGAGGAGGAGGAGGTCTTAGGACCAGTCCTATTTAACGCCAAGTGAAAGGGGCGTCAAAACTAAAGACCTTTAGAGATTAGTAGGCGCAGCCGTTGCAACAGGAAAAGGGCGGAAGGAGGGAAGGGACAAGGGGGAGGGATATGGATCACCAGCAGGAGGTGGGATAGGAGCAAGGAAACAAACAGCAAAACAGGACGGGCGGGTCAGGCGGGCGGACCCTGACGGGCGGGTCGGGCGGGCGGGCCGAGACGGCCAGGTCGCGCGGGCGGGTCGCTGAAGCGTCAGCCCTGCAAGGCTGTCTCGAGCGACAACGCGATTGCTAGGTATATCGTGAGGAAGTCCAAAGCGAGAGCGTGACTCCTGAGTGTCGAAGGCGCCGCGTCTCGATAAATTGCAATGAAATCATTCGCGAGAGCGCGATTTCTGAGTAAATTGTAAGGACGTCCCGCGGGCGAGCGCGATTTTGAGTAAATTGTGAAAAAGTATCAGGCGGAAGCCGTCGTTGTTGTTGTTGTTGTTGCTGTTGTTATACTTCGGGGGCCAGGGGCCAAATCTGATGTCCAAGACTTTCCCCTCTAAAAACCGGGTGCGAACCCCTGGAAGGGCACTTCAATTTACAAAAAGAGAATGGCACCGGAGGGGTGTTCAACACGTATTTCGATTTAGAACTGGGAACTCAACAACAAACACAACAAATCGCCTTGGCTCTCTCACGGACTGATGCTGTTGCGTCAGATTGCGGCGCCGATCTTGACCGCGCCGTGCACCCCTCGCTCCCAATGGGCGGCGAGGCCCAACCGGGAAGGCGCAGGGGGAACAACAGGGGGGGACCAGCTCAGTGTGGGATACATCGATCTGGAATCGGCGATACATCGCCGATAGATCGGCGACAGGCCCCCGATGGCAAAGCCACGCGTCACTGGACGGGGAGGGCTATCGAGCGATGCATGGACGACTGGGGGTCGATGCGTCCCCCCCTGAGCCCAATCCCCCCCCCCATCGTTGCGCCTCAACGGCGCGGGAGGGGCAAAGGAAGGCTCAGCGCGGGTCCCCTTGGAGCTCTCGTCTGTCTGCACCACGTGGGCGCCGGCCCTGATCCTGACCTCGCGGGACGAGGGCACGCGCACGAGGAGGCCCTCGACGGCACAGCGCTGCACCAATCTTGGCCAGGGGTCCACCCTGGGGCCCGGGGACGGTGCCATTCGCCCTCCCGGCTTGGCAGGGAGGGCGCGCGCCCCGATCCTGGACCTGGGATCTGCCTGGCCAAGATCGGCGTGGCCGTTTAGCTCAAGGCTGAAGCCCTCGAGGAGGAGGAGGAGGAGGACGAGGAGGAGGAGGAGGAGCAGGAGAACGACGACGACGACGACGACGAGGAAAGAAGCACGGACAGTGGAGCAAACACGCAAAAGCATCAACTCTCGGGGGCGCGCGCGGATTTCGAGGGTCGGCGCCGGAGGGGCGCCGCCACAGGGTCCCAGCGCCGACCCTGGAAAGTCGAGGCCCCACCGGATACGCGCGGCTAGATGTGGATGCGGCCCCTGATTCCCGCTGCAAAGCAAGCAGGAACCTCGCCATCCCTATCCTGCTCAATGCCGCAGCAAGGCCTAAGGATCACCAGGTCGCCTATTGTCGCGCGTCGCGCCCCGCGATGCGCGACGCGCGGTTACCTTAGCGCGCCCCCGCCCTCGCGCCGCCCACCCAGAAGAAGGGGAATGAGCATCGTTTGACCGACCCCTTTCCCCAAGAACGTGGCCTGGACCCCAATGGCCGATTGACCCCCTAGATGGGGATATAGGCCGTTCCCTTCGGGTTTCAAGGTGTGCGTGTGTGTCCCCAGCTGGGGTGCAAAGATGCTGGCGGTCTGGATGGGGATGGGGATGGGGATCGGGTCAATGATACCGAAGGAAGCCGCCCGGGTCCAAACCACGATGCGCAGAGCGCGAGCACCTGCGCGCCCCATCGGGTGATCTTGGGGGTTTTGGCCTCTCCTCCTCCTCCTCCTCCTCCTCCTCCTCCTCCTCCTCCTCCTCCTCCTCCTCCTCCTCCTCCTCCTCAGCTCCCCTCAAAAATGTACGAAACCACTGGCAGTGCCACGGGACAAATGGTCAGAACAGCCCCCCCCCCGAGCCTTGAACCTGCGGCAGGCCAACTGGATCCTCACTTTTCCGGGCGGGCGCTCGCAGTGGTGAGGACGAGTGCCCGTTCTGGCTAGGACGCGAAGGGAACTTTGGACGGGAAGGCGGCGCGCGTGATGCTTGTATTTTGGTCCTCTTGCGAATTCAAGACGACGAATTTAGAAAACTGTTCTACATTTGAGCGGTCAGTTCTGAAAGTGCACAATACCATACATTTGAGAAGGCGACTGCTATGTTTACTAATGTAAACGAAAGCAGCTGCACAGTACCACAAGGGTCCACATTGGGACAAGCACTCGATCTGGAGCGACTTACGACGCGATGCAAATGTGTCGGACTGTGCATGGGGAAAGCGAGTGGGCAACATTTGAACCGATGCTTATCTATACACATACATACATATGTATATAAATACAAGTACTCATGCTCACATGCATACGCACATACGTACATATACCCATACATGCGTTGATCTGAATGCGCATGAACATTAAAGCCCATAACTCGATATATACATATATACATACATATATATATATATATATATATATGTGCACATATATATACATATATGCAAACATGAATACCTACATATGTGCGTACAAACATACACGCGTATATACATGCATGCACATACAGCATGGGCAAAAACTCTTGTGAATGCACATATAGCACAGACAACACGCGGCTGGCAATGACCAAATGTTATGCATGGCGTCAAAGACAAAACGGTACAACAAGTCAGTAGAAGCATCCCGGGGTTTCCGACATGTGTTTTGCCGCACCAGCTGTCAACGATCATTCGTCTGACATTACCTTGGTTGGAACGCGACGCACCTTAGCGAAGGAAGAATCTGGGACATTTTCGACGATTCGCTGTGTTTCCTGGCCTCCTTGCCACGATGGAGGTTGACCTCGACTTGCTTGCCTATCCTTTCGTCCTTGCCGGCGCCGAGGCGCGCGAACTCGTCCCCGCGGCCACGTTTCCAGGTGAACACGCGGCTCGGTGCGTCAGGCTCAACGAAGAAGTCATCAGACCATGCGTCACATTCCTCATAGCCGTCGCACCACACACCGATGGCGTTATCGCGATTGGTCATCAGGCTGGATGCCCCATGATGGGCGCAGGTCACCTCGAGCTACGGTCTTCCAATTCTACTCGCACAACGTTCCCGAAATAAGGTTGGTCGCCCAAGATTGGTGAATGGCCAAAACGTGATAGGTCACCCAGAGGGATCTGAGCCTGCCAAAAGATTCCTTCCCCAAGGCGAACGACACGGTTAAAGGTGATGCCAGCGAACCCATTCATCACCTCTCTGGTTATACATCTGCGTGAATGAATACTCCCTGCACACGGTTGCGGACAGCCATGCGCGGCACCAGGCTGCCTCGCGCGCGCCCACCACCTCGGCCCCGCACGCGCGCGGCTGCCCGGCGCCAGCGTTGAAACTATTGTAGAACATATCCAGGTCATTGCTGACTTCTGCGAGCTCCCGCACCAGCTCACGAGGTTGAAACCGAACTGCAGTCAATCCTGTTCGAACATCTCCGCGATGGTCATGGATCGTTGAATTGCTGCAGAGCGATCGGAGCCAAAGTCGCGGCGCTTCCTGGTCAAAGGGTGCCAGACCAAGTCGCGACCACGTCAATGCCTTCTCGGCCCTGGTGCTCGGGCGCGTCGTCGACGCACACATGGGCCACGTCGCGCGTGCCCCAGTCGCGCGCTGGACGGGGGTCTGGCGGGGCACCCCGGGGCCGGAGCAGCCACCCTGGTCATCGGGAAAGCAAGCTTGAACGGCCACCACCAGCCGTGCGAAAATATCGCGTTCGCCCCCGCGGCGATCCGCCAAAGCACCGCGCGGCTCCGGAAGACGCGCGAGGTCTGAGCGGGGCCACACGCAGCAAACACTGCCATTCTCTTCTCGAAAGCGCCCCGGTAGCTGGCGCCATCCTCGCGGGCGACGACGTTGCCGACGGGCCTTCCAGGTCGCGCGCAACGCCATTGGCCCGGGCCGCGAAGCAGCACCCCCACCATCCCCTGATTGCAGCAAGTAGATCCAGGGCCCCCAACGGGCGCCCACGCAATTGGGATCGCGTCGAGGGCGCTCGGGCGGCCGGGCCACGTCATCCCGCGTCTCCACGAGGCGCGCGCGAGGCATCCCCGAGAAGTCGTGGCCAACTATCTCGAGAGCACGCAAACGAGCCTCTCGGCGAACTGTGCTCGTTGAGCGGCGTGGCGACGCGGGCCCGAGAGGCACCGCGGAGGGCGGCGAATCCGACTCCGACCCCGACCCATCCACGGGCGCGCCCGTCTCGGTAACATCTCCGTTTCGGCCTCCACCCGCCGTTGCATCGCCCTCGCTCACTGACGTCCTGTCTGGCACTTCCGTCGGTGAGCTCGGCTCCTTCTCCTTCGCCGCGAATGATTGGCGGCGGCAGATTGCGCCGGCGAGGCTCTCGGCTCTCCCCGGCGCAACCGCCCCCGAGGGTCAGCAGAGCCAGACGCGCTCGAGGCGCCCGGCAGGTGTGGTTCCGCTGCGCAACGCGCAACCTGAAGTTTTCTGCCCCTGCCCCCGTTGGGCGACCTCCCTGGTCGCCAGCAGCGCGGCCACTGGCTGCGACAAATCAAATTATCTTCCCAGGCCTGGTCGAGTCGAGCACGCGATCCAGTCGTGGTGCCCAACATTGCGCTTCCCACGTTGGCCTCGTTACACCTTGGTTGCTGACGTTGGCAAGCTCGCGCCCTGCGGCGGCCCTCCCAGCGCCGCGAGCCGCCTCACCTCTGAGGAGCCCGTCACTCACGCCCTTGGCCTCGTCGCTAGCTATCTTACGTCCACGGTCGCGCTCGAGCAACTCCCAGTCGCGGCCCGCCAACTCGCGCAGGACTTTCAAGAGCGAGTCGAAGCCCACTCGCAGTCACCGTGCGCATGCCCGGCCGCATCGACTGCGCTGCGCTTCAACTGGAGTGCTCGCGCGTCCATCATATTATAAAGCCTCACCAGCACGGTCGATCTTAATGATGGCGCCATACACATGGCTACTGAATCGGGCCAAGAACACAATTCACTCGCCGCATACAGCGATGCATTCCTTGGATATGGTTCCTCGCCACCGCGGATGCGTCGATCTCCTCACCGCTGATGGCCAGCTGCACGATCGGCCTGAACTCGCCAGGCGCCATGGCGGCGCCTGTCATCGCGACGTGACTGAGTAGCAGGTGAGCAATAGGACGATGACGCATTTGTTTTTCGAACCCACTCAGATCTTGATCACCACCTATGGAGTCATCGCCCGAACAGGCAACCGCAAGCGTCTCTCGACACGCGTAGACACGCATGACGATGCCCCTCCTGACGCTTAGCCCGCTCTCTTGCAAAAATCCACATCGCAGCCCCCAGGTTGCTTGCTGCGACACGCGCGCCGCATACCCACCCGACCCATTTACCGCACTTCCCCGCCACGAGATCTTCCCGCGGCGACTTAACACGTATATGTATGCATATCCTCCTGGGCTGGCGCGTGGGAATAAGCCGTCTTTGTCGACGAACGCAAACTTGGATCAATGCTGCTCTTCACCGTTTTGGTAGACCTTCCATCAGTCTCGACCTGCACTCTGGAGTTCGTTCGCCCCCTCTATCGATGCCTACATGGCCCCCGATGGTGCACTGCCTGTTACTTACCAACGCGCACGTTCATCTACCATCGCGCACACCTGCTGTTTATTCAATGTGTTTATGATGTCCTACCCTTCGCCGCGGACTCTGGCACGCGCCCAGCGCCGCGCACGTCGCCCCGCACTCGTGCATACCCATCTTTATTGTAATAGGTCGCGCGCATCCCTGCGCCGTTTACTAGGACTCGACACGCAATCACTGGAAGCGCGCGCATCGCACGTCATTCGGTGCTGTCACACAACCATCATGTTCGCATGTTGCGCGCGTCCAATGGTGACCCCGCTTGTCTTCTGA